AGAAAAGGGAAGTCTGGGGAATGAGATGAGGTTTGACTAAAAAGAGGCATCACAAGGGAATTTGGGTGTGCGTATAATGAAACTGTTCTGTATCCTGATTATGGTGGTAGTTACAAAACTGTATGCATTTGTCAAAACTCATATAACTATACGCTGAAAAGAGTGAATTTTACCATATGTGACTAGAAAGTAGAGAAAAAAATTTACATGACTGTTGTCCCACTATATTCATCCTTTTGCAACTTTCTTATTCACTCAACATTTTTTATTCTCAGATCTATACACGTACTTAAAATTTTAAATAGATAGAATACAATCTAAGTACAGGGACCATTAGAAACAAGGGTTTAGAATGAACATGACCCTAGGGTCATCCATACACTGTATTCTACAATGGAAAATGTCATTAAATGGAGCAGGTTCCAGTTGATTCCCTGGGGGACGTTGCTTTGACATAAAGGTTGACAGAAGTTCTCCATCTCCAGCCATTGACTCTGATCTTCAAGGCTGTTATTCCCAAAAGTGAATTCTTCCAGGAACCTCAGCTATGTCAACAGTAAGTAAAGAATATAGGGCAACTAGACTCTGCATTCTCTCTAAATTGTTTTTGTCTAGTCCCGTAAGAACCAGGTTTATTTATATTAATACATGCTGCACTGAAAAAAGAGCTTACAAATAAGTTCTAGTCCTGTTCTGTCAACTAAATAGTTGGTGACATCAGCAAGGTGTTTAACCACTCAGAGTTGCTTTCCTCTTCCATAAAAAGTTGCGTTGTCCTGGATTATTTTAAGCCCCGTTCTAGCTATAAAATATTATAGGATATTAATCAAACCTCTAAAGCATTCAATTATCTGTTCAACTGTCTGACATGTCTCAGGAGCTTACCTGGGTGCTGAGGGTATAATTAAGAGCAAGAAAGAGTCCCCGGTTTAGTGGAAGCCACAGCATGGCCATATATTCAGTGGCTATTCAATGAAGGAGGGTCAACAAGACAGCAGTTCACAGCGAGTGAGGGTGTCGAGAAAGGATGGGAAGGATGAGAATGCCAAATAAACATGTGGTACCCCTCCAACCTTGAATTTTGTTTGAAAAAGAAAACAAGGATGTCTTCCTTCTGCATCCACCATTCTGCCAGTGCATATGAATGAACGGGAAGCTACAGACTCCTTAATGCTCAAGGTCATCCTTAATGCTCAAACACATATCCTCTAGTGTCTTTATTTCTTATTTAGCAAAACATTAAATGAAAGCATCTGAAACTAGAGGGCCTCGTGCTTCAGCAAATGTAAAGATGTAGAAGCCTTCCCAGGGATGAGTAAGCATGCATTTAGAGTTGGCCTTTTTTTCTTTTTTTTTTTTTAAGTGGTAACAGCGTAGCTTTGAGAAATGTGGGTAGCACATTTTCCCACACTTCTTCTAAAGAAACAACAAAAAATAAATAAATGTTCTAGAAGATGATTTTAGAGAATGAACATAATTCCTACCCATTAATTACCACATGATTTGATGCCAGGAATGTTCATTTAAAAACAGTTAACCCAGAAGGTTAAATGACAAGGGACATTCTTGTGGCAAAAATCTAAGAGTCTGCTAATATAATCTTACATGTGTGCAGAAAAGCATAAAATATTAAATATGGAATAAAACAACCCACTCAGTCAATATTGATATAAACAGTGTGATATTTATTAGAAATATATTTGTCAAAGATGGAGCAGGCTTTCTCTGCATGCTAGAGAAACTCAGTTAATCAGAAAGCTTTTATTCAAGTTTAAATAGGAAACAGGGAATTTTTCCCCAGCACTTTAACATCTATTGTTGAAACTCTTACTAAAATGTACGAGCTTTCCTGACTTTCTAAACACAGAAGGATCATCACAGTTAAGTTAACCCTTGAAGACTGAGGTTTTCAAACATCCATGATAATGGCTAACTGCAGTAGATGCTAGGGTTAAAGATCAGTACTCAAACTGTAGGTGGACCCTAGAAAATCCATTTGAAGAGAGAAATTCCTGATGTGAGCTCTAAAACATTTTTTAAGTTCTCTCCTTTCACCAGGTTGTAGAGAGTAACAAAAAGTTTAGCAAAAGATAACTTCCGTTTAATTGATTTTGGCCTATTGAGATCTTACCGTCTTAGGAGAGAAATACTCATGAGTATAGATATTGAATAATATAGTGGATTTCAATTAATACTTCCCCAAAATACTATTTAATTATGAAGAGTAAAATAGTAACCTTACAGTGGGCAGACATGGTAGATACCACCTCAACCAAATTACCAAAGGTAACCTTGTAGCAATGAGACTAGTCAACAGCATGGGTCTCCTGACAGGATGTGCTGAGAGAACTCAGCATTACTTGCATGGTAATCCTGCCAAAAATGCATAACCCAAACCTAGTCATGAGAAAACATCGCACAAACCTGAGTTAACTGGGGAACAATCTACAAAATAAGCGGCCTGTACTTTTCAAAAATGCCAATGTCATGAGAAAGAAAGACTCAGAAAATTGTTCCATGTCCCAGGAGACAAAAGAGACAAGATGACTAAATAAATTTTGTATTCCTTTTGTTATAAAAGACATTGTTGGGACAATTGGCAAAGTCTTAATAAGATCTGTAGATTAAATAATAGCATTGTTTCAGAGTTAATTTCTTGATTTTGATAATTGTCCTGTGGTCACATAAGAGAATTTTAGGAAATATAAACTGAAATATTTAGGGAGTAAAAGGAGATCATATTGACAACTTACTCATAGATGGGCATGAGAGAACTTTTTGGCTGATGAAATGTTTTATATCTTGATTGTGGTGCTGGTTAAATGACTACATGAACACACATATTTGTCAAACATTCATTGAATGTGAATGCCTGTATTCTTTGTAAACATACCTCAATAAATAAAACTGATTTAAAAGAAATGTTCATTTTGATATTGTGTATTATTTTTTCTTCTTCTTCTTCTTAATGTTTTTGGTTTGTGGATGTGGCTGAATTCCTCCAGCTGGTGTATATTGTTTTGCGAAGTATTTAATAGCCACTCAAGTATAATAAGCCCTATAAAGTAACTTTATGGTTTTTATGTGCATGGTTTCTATGTTGATTGATTGCCTAAGTTAATACATGAAATTCAACAGATCACTGAACTATAACAAGCTCTCTCTCTCCATTACAGATCATTTTATCACATCTATTTTAAGTAGTCTGCAACTAAGCTTGCAGGTTCTCATGCAAATCTTGCTTGCTTTTTAAAAGAACTACAAATATTTTCTAGCAAAAAAAAAAAAAAAACTCTTCTTGCCAATAAAAGATCTCACCACCCTAAGACAATTGCTATATTTTGTAGTATATAAAAATAAAAAAAGAAACAAGAAGAAAGGTGTGTTGGCTGCTTCAAAGGAAGTACAAAGACCAGGCCATTTCTGTTCTTAAATAATAGGATTCCCATTGTTCTGTGTCTCGCTGGAGTTTAGATATTAACTCAGTTTAGGAGAAGGATTGTCAAATGGATTGTCTCCTGTGGTGAAGAGATTCTGATGTTTTCATATTGTGTTATCGGAGTGTTGAGAAAAGGTGAGCAGCAAGGGTCAGCAAATACCAAGAAATTGGCTCCCAAACCTCAGCAGTGAAAGGCTGTGCGGAGAAGTAGAAGCAACTCTGAGGACACGTGTATTTGGGGGGATCCACATTAGCAAAGCAGGGTGAGGCTAGAGGATGCCTGGAGGGACCAGAGCTTCATAGGAAGTGAACTGAAAGGTGGCAGCTTTCATTCATTCTGGCTTTACCAAATTAACGCATTAACTGCCATGTGAGTTGTATTTAACTCACGCTAGTTTTGAGCCCAGGGCCTCGTGAAGCATGTGTCTCTTCACCTTGGGAGCTGCAAGAACTATTCTTCAAGTTGCACATAACTCATGTGCAGAAAACAATAAAAAAAATAACCCATTTTTCATTAAATGAGAAAGGATAGTTTTGTTTTCAAAGTTTTTATTCTATTTTCGTAATAAAACACCATGGCCACATGGAAAAAAATTTTTTTCTAGCATGGCAGGCAATGTGTTAACCAGGCATCCTTGCCCAGATTCCTTCTCTATGGTTCAGTTTCCTCATCTGCAAGATGAAAGGGTGTATACTAAGTGATCCTCACAGTTGTCTCCCATCCTATGATCCTGAATCCCAGGATCTTTGGTATGAGACACAGGGGTCTCTTCTACCCCAAATTTGTGCCATTTCTCTTCCCCTTGGCTTCCTAAGTCTGACAATATTGTCATAGTCGTTGTCTCTATTGCTATATAGGATATTCTTTGTATAAGAGGAAATATTTAAATTATTTACATTGTGGTTTCTGCTTTACTAGGAGATAAAAATGATTCTTTTTTTCTACTACATTCCTTGGAGTATCCATAAAACTTTCCACAGCATGTAGAGTAGCAGGGTATAGATACAGCTAATATATGAAAAAATACTCTGTTTGCTTAACCTATATCTCCCAGGAGTTTCTAAGAAATTGAATGACGAGTGAATAGCAACAACAGTTGTGTGAGTAAACCTGTAGATTCACTTATCACCATTTACCAATTAGCAGATTCTGGATTTTAAAATGACATGGGAATACCTTATTCTTAAAACACAATAAAAAATCACATAGAAAGAACCATTCCAGTCAAAGTATGAAGCCAATTCAAGCTCCAGGCCCAAATCACACCGTAAGGCCCAAAGCTCCTTTACTGTACAGTAAAAATGGCTGGTTTAAACCCAATGCAGGTTCTGAAGCTGAACAACGCTCTACCTGAACTAAAATACTGGAATAAACACTTTTGCCTCAAAGAAAAAAGAAGCCACTTTTCGTCCCTGCTGTTGCCACCTTTGGGGATTGCCTGAGGATACTGTTTGTCAAACTTTCCTCCAGAGAACAGTAGTGTTTCAGTCTGCTTTGTGCTGCTTTAGCAAAATGCCATAGACCAGGTAATGCATAATGAAGAGAAATGTACTGACTCACAGTTCTGGAGGTTGGAAAGTCTGGTATCAAGATGCTGATTTCTTGTCAGGGCCTTCGAGCTGCATCTTCACAGAGTGGGAGCCTCCTAAGGTAGCAGAGCAAAGAGAGGGTGACAGAGAGCAAGGGGGGCCGAACTCGCCCTTCTGTAACAAGCCCACCCCCGCAGCACTAATGGCCCAATCACTTCTTAAAGGTCCCACCTCTTAACACCGTTACAATGGCAATTAAATTTCAACACGAGTTTTAGAGGAAACAAATATTCGAACCGTAGCAAACAGTCATGAAAGATAGACATGTACAGAAAAAGGGATTCTGAGATCAAATAGGTAGAGAAATGCTATACCTACCGGAGAGTCACAATCTACATTGGCCCACTCAAGGCTCTGAGATGTTCTGCAGTCATTAAATATCTTTAGCTTTATCATTAACTTTATTTAACTTGGAACATTTTGAACCTAAGTGACCTCAGAACGTCTTTTCCACATAGTCCCTTCTTGTTCTGCACAACACATTTTAGGAAACCCAGCGTCGGGGTTAATTTTACTGAGATTCCAGAATAGAGCCAGGTTCCAGCTGAGCCTGCTCTTCCTGAGCAGGTCACTGTAACAAATCGCAAGCTTCCTTGGCGGAGCAGGAATCTACCTCAGGGCACAGGACACAGGGTAGCAATCACCTCAGGAGCACCATCCAGGCTGGCAGAGGTAAATTTGGAGCGAGAAGTTTGGACTGCTCAAACTCTTGGGCTAAACCAATCCTCCTGCCTCAGCCTCCCAAGCAGCTGGAACTACAAGTGCACACCACTATGCCCCGCTAACTTTTTATTTTTTGTAGAGATGAGGTCTCCCTGTTGCCCAGACTGGTCTGAACTCCTGGCCTCAAGCCATCCTCCCACCTCGACCTCCCAAAGTGCTGGGATTACAGGTGTGAGCCACTGTGTCCAGCCAGTTTTTACTGAACTCTTATAACTATAGCCATTCTGTGGAGCAATAAATAAATAAATGAGTTCGCAACATGGATATTGGTTTCTATTTTTGTTTTCAATAATGAATATGAAGCAAGGAAGAGGTATATTGAAACTTCACTCATTCATCAGTGATGTGGGTAATTTCTTAGCTGAATCAGATAATAGATTTTTGAATACTGGAAGTATATTTCCTCAATTTTTTATGCTATTCACAATGTAATAGCTGAAGACAGGAAACACTTTAAAATTTAATGTATTTAAACACTTTAAAATTTCATGTATATTGTTAACACTTTCTCTCTCTTTATTGAGACCAAAAATTGACAAACTAGTAATATTGTAATATTAAATATTAGTATTATTAATTAATATCATTAATGTTAATAATATAATCATATCAATAATAAACATTTAAAGATAATATTAACATATTAAAAACAGCAGCCTGTTTTTGCTAATAAAATTTTATCAGAACAGAACCACGCTCATTTCTCTATTATTATCCTTGTCTGCTTTTATGCTACAATAGCATAGTTGAATAGTCATAACAGAGTACGGCCTAAATATTTACTATTTGGCCCTTTGTAGTAAAAGTTTGCTGACTTCTGATCTAGAAAATCAACAAAACAACAAATTAAGCCCCGATCTGTAGCATTTGCTCCTTAACATGGTGTAAATATTTCCACTGTGGCGGGTTTCAAGCTACTTCTGCAACATCCCTGATTGTGGAGGTAGGAAGAGATGCACAGAAGCACAACATCATGTGGTATTTCCATCAGACAGACTCGGTGGGTGCAAATAACCTCTAGAGCTGGATAATAGTAAAATATAGTAAAACAATATAGTAAAATAATTAAGACATGATGAGGTTCAAGAATTTATTCTCTTTGTTTTCAATGTAATTTATTTTATTACAAATATTTATATTTTCACGTTTTATCTCTCCAGTCCATCCTCCATACCAGTGTTTTCTAACTATATTATGCATCTGAATCATCTGGGACTCTTTTTTTTTTTTAAAGGCAAGTCAAGTACAGTAATGGGAATAGGGGTTAGAGCAGAACAAGGAGTTGGATCTGTCACTGGCTGTGAACAATCTGTGGAGATAACTCACTACCTTTGGCCCAGCTGTCACCTGGGATTCTTATTAAAATATAGTTCCTGACTCAGGAGGTCTGGGAAGAGCCCAAGATTTTTGCATCTCCAACAAGCTCCCTGGTGATGCTGACGCTATTGATCCTTGGAACACACTTTAAGGAGTAGGGCTGGCCTGTTCCTAAACACTCTCTCAAACACACAAATCTGACCATGTAACTCACCTGTACCAAACCACGTAGGTTCCCCGATATTTCGCATCTCTGTGATTTTTAATATTTCCACCTCTACCTGAATCACGCTGCTGCCTCCTCCCTGCATCTTCCTGGGAAACACCTTTTTCTCTTTCAGAGCACGGCTGCATGGCAGCCTCTTCCAAGAAGTCTCTTCTGCCATCCCAGTGAGAAACGGGACCCTCCCCTCGTCCCCGCTGCTCCCTGTCAGCACATGCGTCTCGCTTTGCTGCATCCCTTTGTGTACATGATTTTCTGCTTCATTAACCCAAAATTCCCTAAGCCATATTCTGACCTCAACACAAATGTCATTTCCTTCGAGAGTCTCCCTGACCCCCCAAGAAGCCCTCCCGTCCCTGCCTGTCACTATCACCCCCATCCTGCCTCTTTCTTTCAGAGCACTGTTCACAGTCTGTGATTTTCTTATTTTAGTTTTTAGTAAAAGCCATCTTATTTAATGCAATTCAGCCTAGTAGTTGGTAAGTTGATTGAGAATGAGGTGCTAAAATTGGGGAATTATAACAAGTGATACATACATATGTGAAATATTTTTGTGAAAATATAAATAAATGCACATTCCTTGGTCTGTGTTTTAACCTAAGCCATCATCCTGAGAGTGTTGATTGGAGGTCAGCAGCATCTTTCTTGCATAAACGATAGCCATAAAGCATCATCACAATTTCTGATTTCATTGTCTTTAAAGTGGAGCATCCATAAAAGGAAACTTGCAAAGCAAGAATAAAAAAGTGTTCTTTATCTTTTGCTATTGGGTTCTGCCCATGCCTAATTTAACAGCATTGTTTAAAAGCAACCCGCCATTATCAAATCTTCTAAAGTGTGTAATTTAGTTGGTTCTTTTTTAAACAAACATTTTATTTTGGAGTAATTTTAGATTTGTAGATAAGTTGCAAAGATAGTACAGAGGGTTCCTGACTACCCCTCACCCAATTCTCCCAGTTGCTAATATGTGCATTACTATGGTACATTTGTCAAAATTAAGACACCAATATTGGTACATTATTATTAACTAAAGTACAGATTTTATTGGGCTTTTACCACTTTTTTCCATTGTCCTCTTTCCATCACAGGATCCAAGCCAGGGTGCCTCGCTGCATTTAGTGGTCACGTTTCCTCTGCTTTGTGACAGTTACTCAGTTTTTCCTTATTTTTCATAATGCTGATAGTCTTCAGAGACCCTGGCCAGATATCCTGTGGACTGTCTCCCAATGTAGGTTTATCTAAGGCTTTTCTCCTGATTAGACTGGTGGTACAGGTCTTTGGAACGAATCCAGCAGAGGTGAAGTGCCCTTCCCAGACAGATAATATCTACTTGTATCACTGTGGATAGCAACCTTCCCGTAATTGAGTTTTTATAAAAAAACAATGCTCATCCTTTCAGCACTCACAGTACATTAGTTTACATACTATTTCACTGAAAAACGTAATCAGAAATATAAGGACAAGTGGCATACACAGGATTGGGAGCAAACACAACTGAGTCTTGGCTGGTGTGGGTCTCGCCTAGGGGTGGGGGAACAGAGCATTCGGGAACTTGGCCATCAGCCTGCAGGGGCATCGGTTAGTGGGTTTTATGGTGGTCTGGGAAGCATGGCTACTGCGAGATTATAAATCGAGAGGCTAGATGAGCATGAACCATTTACATTAGAGATGGAGAGTTTAAATCTCTTCCTCTGGGAAGGTGAGGTGGGTGAAGAAATTCCACTATGCTTGGTTATTGTGTGTTTCCCTCCTTCCCTTTGCATGACTGCAGACAGCTTGTCTGAAGCACTCAGCACAGCGCCTGGCACGCAGCGGGAACTCATTGCATATGTGTTCGAGGAATGAACGAGCAGAGCGATCTTTAGGTGTGTGTCATCCAGGGTCTAGCCAGGAGATGGAAACGTCACCCGTTGTTCGAACGCAAAGGATTTAATTGCTAACTAAGTATAAATGTGTTGACTAGGTAGGTAACAGAAACGGCGAAAAGACAACACTCGACTGTCGTGGAGGTAGCACCTGCAGGAGGCAGCGATCACCCCCAGGACCTGGGGAACAAAAAGAAGAGGCTCACACTGTTAAAACTTAGGTGTTTAGAGGAAGAACCTCACAGAGCTGAGAACCAGACCCTCGAAGAGAGGTGCGAGACATTAGAGTTGACGGACTGTGAGGAGGCTGGTTCCATAAGTGTTGAAAATACCACAAACTGCCTTCAGTGGTACCCACGGGAAGGAACTGCCTGGGTGGCGCTCACAGGAGCAGGACGTGGTCAGGCAGGAGTGTGTGCGCCTTCCCCCTCCAGCTTTGTAGTCTCCCTCTAGCATCCCTCTGTAGGCAGAACCTTATGGGAAGCCAACTCCAAAGCAAAAATGTGGTTTGCAGAGATCCACCCCCAGAATCACAAAGCAAGGTACGAAGGATAGGTCTGGAGCTAGAAGACAAGAGCTTAGGGACTGGCTTAGGCACAAATTAGGTCACGGTAATTGTTAGTGCAGCATTTTACTACCCCAATACCCTCTTCCTTCCCCACTACTGTAGGGCCTTTGCCTTCGTTTCTGGGCTCCATTCTCATCTGACATCTTGAAGAGTCCCCAAATATGTCTCAGCTACAGCAGGAATGTGACATTACCCTGTCTCCAGGCCAGGGATCAGGAACCTCTGATAATGTTTAACATACAAATATGTATTAAATAGTTGGTTTAATATATACAAAAATATAAAAAATACAATATTTTACAATGTTTCTTTGAGGAGATTTTTTTATTCATGGGCTGGACTGATTGAGGCTTCCTAAAA